GGTGGCTGGTTACGTTCCTGGAAAATGCCGCGTTGGGCAAAGCTGCGTTCGTTAAAACCGCGTTCAAGGCGAGGAGGGTTCTCCGAAACTCTAAACGCGCTATTTAGAGAGACGTGTTTTGTTAGTGTTTTGCCTCTTCTCCCGCTCTCCCGTAAAGACTTGACAACATTTAAGGAGATGGACCGTATTCTCTGTATTTTAAAGTAAGGCACGCACCTCAAGCATTGGGGGACATTTTGGAGAGAAAAAAAACCAGCCCAACAGTTATCTGGGAAATATCAACGTCCATAATAAAAGTCTCTTGTGAGAAAAAAATTGCACGTCTAATATATGAAACTATAACCATATACGAAATTTCTACTCTTTGGTTCTTTCGGTAAAGTCACGTAGGTATAAAATAAAATAAATCACGACGTTTCGACCACAACACAAGCAATCATCATCAGGTGGGGAACCACAGCAATATTTTTTTTTTGCTGAAGTGGGAGAGATGCCGTGGTAAGAGGTGTTATATAGGTGAGAAAGGGGGGAGGGGCAAGGGGGGGAGAGAGAGGGGGGGGGCTGTGTGGAACGCTAGCCTTTCTCACTTATGTAGGACTTGAAATATGACGCGCCACGCGTTCGGTTGTTCTGTTGCTATGCAAGCGAGCGGTGTACAGTGGGGGGTATCATAGGACGGGGTTGTTGTTGTCGGGCGTGAGGGAGACGTCGTTAAGATGGGCGACAGGTTTTAGGGGGTAACCGAGGATGCAGGCCGGTGATTGGTTAGGAGGGTGAGTAGTTAATGACCGGCGCCGCTCTGGCGGGAATAACAAGGCCACGTGAGGCTGGGGGCCTGGGGGCGAGTGACGAAGCAGGGGGGGGGGGGGTGAGATAATTGATTGGGACTAATTGGTGTGGGGATAAGAGGATAGCGTAACAGAGAGACGGGAGTCTTCATTGGGATTGGAGCTGGAGCGGTTGGTGCCAGGGAGAGAGACGGAGCAGCAGTGAGTAGAGAAGATACGATAACGGTAGCAGTGGATAGAGATAGGATAGAGTTCGGTAACAGTGGATAGAGATAGGACAGAGTACGGTAGCAGTGGAGAGAGAGAACGCAGAGTGCGGTAGCAGTGGTAGCAGTGCATCGGAGGAATAGAGAACAGGGTAGCAGCGGAGTAACGGACCTTGGGAGAGCAGGAGAGCTAACGGAGAGACATAGAGTGTCGTTGATGGCGGATAGTGTAACGGAGCGGACGAGGAGACACGGAGCGGTGATGAGGACAAGGTGTGAACTCTAAAGTGTGAATAAACGGAACGAGAAAGACAACCGGAGTACGTACACTTATATAACACCTCTTACCACGGCATCTCTCCCACTTCAGCAAAAAAATCTTGCTGTGGTTCCCCACCTGATGATGATTGCTTGTGTTGCGATCGAAACGTCGTGATTTATTTTATTTTATACCGACGTGACTTTACCGAAAGAACCAACGAGTATGGATTCCTGCAGTCACGAAAGCTTCAAATCAAGATTAGACGAAATTTTATTTTTAGTATGCGAAACCGCCGAGGTATTCGCGCTTTTCAGAGGTGGCCGGATGAATGCCGACACCACCAAGCGAGCTCTGGTGGTCACCCATCCACGTGCTAACCAGGTGCACCGCTGTTTAACACATAGTAAGCTTTCGTGACCAATGTCATCCTTAATACAGGTTTTTTGGGTTAGATCGCGTTAATATATACACGTGTCATTAAACCCGCTACCACCCGATACAGCCAATTCGTAAGGGTTGTCACGCAAACAGAACGTGCCATTTCGTTGCTAGTACAGCACGCTGGTGTGTTGGCGAGCAAATCCACCCCTGCTTAGCTCATCTGATAAATCCTTAAGCAACAGCTTTGGCGGATGATCAGGTACGCATGACACCTGGCAAAAGCAACGTGTGAGCTTATTTTATGTGGTCGTTTCCGTGCCCCCCCCCTCCTTTTTTTGCTTAGATCTAAAAGTGTTGCAAATATTGAAGTCCGTATGAAGCGCTGCCTTTTTTCCAACATTGGGGTCTAAAAATAAAATAAAAATCTCGTGTATAATGGTCGTTCATGCAAATTGAATTCTCACAATAGCTTGAATAACCACACGACAAGCTGGAAGGCCCCGAGGCAGTGAGCCGGTGCCAAGGATTGCTCTGCACTTCTCTATAATATTAAACAACAAAACTTAAACTAATAGGGGTTTTCCCCCTTTTTTCTGGCAACAAAACTGACACCTTTTGCAAGGAATCATGTTAACATTAACCACAATACTTGCAGTCAAATGCAAACAAAAAACACAACTCTGATAATTTATGCATTGTCCTTGAAACTGATTGGTCCACACCAGAGACAGCTTTCTTTAGAGCCTAGTCTCATATGGTGTTCGACCAGATGACGCCAAAAGGCGCACAGTTCAAAGACAACACATTATCAGAGTAATGAGAGCTTGGGGTGAGCAGCTACATCATGGGACCTCCTTTGCCAGTACCAAAATATACTAATAGGGGTTTTTCCCCTTTTTTCTGGCAACAAAACTGACACCTTTTGCAAGGAATCTTGTTAACATTAACCCACAATACTTGCAGTCAGAAAAAAGGGGGAAAAAACCCTATTAGTATATTTTGGTACTGGCAAAGGAGGTCCCATAACAAAACTTAAAGCAATTTTTAAGTTTTACCAGGTAAGGCCAACTGAACTACGTAGCTCTCTTTCAGAAGCGACCTGGCCACAAATGATAGCTCAACGAAGTGGCTTAAGTGGAAATGTATAGCAGGCAGATATTCTTAAACGCGCATTTCGAGAATATTCAAATGTTTCCAGCCAATTGGTGTATTTAGAGAAGGGGTGCTACACAGTGTGTGCTACTTTGAGCTATTTCGGGACGAGAGTCATTCGTTACCACTCGTATTGTAAGATTTTAGGTGGTAATTGATGCACTGACTGGATTCTTTCCGTTGACTATTAAGTTGTACTTTTTGTCATCATCCATGTTCAATCCACTGCTTGATGACATATCCCCCGCAAGATGCTGCCACATGTATATCATATTATTCATGATATATGCAACTTTTTATTTATTTAACTACTGCAGTTAAAAATTTGTTTTTTTAATTTAATCCCTTTTCTAAACGTGTACATTACAGTACTGTGTTTGCTTGTTGTAAAAATTAATCCTTTTGTGGCGAAAAATGGTACATTAACAGTTTTGCAGTGTTATATATTTTAAAAAAGTCAGAGTATTTCAACGATCGTATGTATGTGAACTTTCGCACCGTACGTAGCCAACCGTGCAAATCGGAGGTGTCATGTTTGCTTCAAAATCAAGTCGTTCTGAACTATTTCAACCACATTCACCCTTTGATTCGAGGAACCGCATCCAACTGCAATCTACGGACTGTCTGCCGTGCTAAAATTAGCCCTTTGAGCAGATGGTTAACAGTGATCTTTTGCCAAAAATGCCAAGTTCCCTTGCTTGACACCATTACACATGCATGCGCTCTCATGCAGAAACATTGACAAATGCATATTTCGCTGTATTAAAGGGACATTGTGGATGTGTTATTTTTCACACCTATTGTAACCCTTCGTGAAGGGGTGCATGAATGTCAAAAGCCAGCCGTTTCCCTTGTGAAGGGTGGCACAGAATGTGCACTTCTCGGATGTGAAAGTCTGTAATGCGAATGGGCCCATTTCGGTCGGCTGATATGAACGCAAAAAAAAAAATCTTAACCAAGGGTATGTGGTATGCAAAGCTTCGATTTTGTCACCTTTGCTGGTCTCGTCAAGGAGCATGAACCATCACGCGAGCTCCGGTCATCCTCGCAGCGGCTGCTTTTGGTTGGCCATCGAGCAAAGGTGGTCACCGCATCGCGCGCTTTCAGATGCGCTTTTGCAGGCGCCTGCAACACTCTTCCGATATTGGGAAGCAACTGGGGCTATGCACTTTTAAATCGAGCTTGAAAACTTATTTCTTTAGAACTGCTTTTTGTGTGCAGTTTATTGTTCTTCCCCAGGCACCTCCAATTAGCACAGATGGCTACGTACGGTGCGAAAAGAAGTTCAACATATTTATGTCCAACTGCCTAACCTCGTGTGTTTTTACAGCCGTTATCAAGATTTCACTTCACACTTGATGCAAACTCATGAAATCTGTGACCTTGACCGCCATACCAAATTGTAGCCATGATTAAATGTCATAGTTTTTCCGCCGATGAAGCAGAGCAATAATGTGAATTAGGTTTCGTTGTTGTGAGCAGACATGCTGACCTTACAGCAAAGTCCGTACCAGATTGGTTTGTTATCACCTTCTTCTTTATTGACTATTACTAAACATAAGTATATTATTATTTTGTTAATGTTTTTTTTATTTTCAATGTCCCCCCCTCCCACTAAACATGAAACAAATTGTCTCCCGGGTCACGACGGAATGGTCAAAACATGTAGTCGTCAAAGTCTCGGCGCGAGACCTAGTTTGTCCCGCAGCAGCAGCCCACGTTTGCTGCTGCCTCCCCTCCACGGTGAGTCACATGGTGGCGTAGGAACAGGAAACCATTCAGAAAAGCGTTGGCTACGCACGCTTTGGAGATCCGTGAAGTGCCGTGGATGTGGTGTACAGGCACACGCCGGTACCATCCCCACCAGCTGTCGCCACGAGTGTGAGATGTTAACTACCTCGCCTGGTATACAGGAGGTCGTGGCTTCCACATTTAGAATCGACATGTCTTTCCAGTATTTGACTGCTAGAAATGTCCACGTGATGAGCCACTTCGTTAAGCTATCAATTTTGATAGCCAGGTCGCTGCTGAAAAAATATCTATATAGCTCAGTGGGTCTTACCTTGAAAAAATAAAAATAGTTTAGTTTAAATTGTCATCAAGTCGGTTGTTTTGGCACGATGACGATGATGACGATGACGATGACGAGAGAGAGAGAGCGAGTGATTCGGAGACGAGACCCTGACAGTCCGGTTGCCCGTGCCTCTGCAGAGCTTGGGCGTGAACATGGAGAAGGAGGGCGATCACGTGAACGTGGCGATGGAGCCCATCGCGTGCCCGCTGCCGCCGTCTGCGATGTCCGGTGGTGGCGGCGCGGCGGCGGCGCCCGACGTGCCGCTGCTCGCCACGCACCTCAAGAAGGTGGAGAACCACATCACGGAGGCACAGCGCCTCTCGCACCTGCCCCGTCGGCCCGCACTCGAGCTCGAGTTCCAGGAGCTGAGCTACTCTGTCCGCGAGGGCTCCTGCTGGAGGAAGCGAGGTTAGCTGCTGCTGCTGTTGCTGCTCCTGCTGCTGCTGTTGCTGTTGCTGCTGCTGTTGCTGCTGCTGTTGCTGCTGCTCCAGCTGCTGCTGCTGCTTCTCTCTGCTGCTTGCCGCTGCTGTTTGGTCTGTCGATCGTTGTGTACGCGCGTGCTCTTTATTTCTTTCTATTATTCCGCTTGTTTAACCCGGTACTCTCGGTTTCACGAGGGTCCTGCCAAGTGTTGCCAATTGGTGGTGGTGATTGCAGTGTATATTGCAATGGAATAATTTGGGCTGTGATTTTCTAATTTGGAAACGCGTTTGGAGCGTTGGTGCAGTGGTCAGCTAGCGCACTGTGCAAGCAACCGAGGTGGAAACTGGTTTCTGAGCCAGTTCTGACAGTTGTATGGGGTTATATAAATGTGAATTCTTGATATTATTTGGGCAATAAGTACCTGGTGTGGTGCACGAACGGTATCTTTCTCTGCACTTACAGGCTGTTCACTTGTATATGTTGTTGTGTACATGTCTGTTCACATCTGTAAATGCATATTCACGGGATGCATGTGTGGTTATCACATGGCACGCATTTACACTACTGGCAGTCTTGGCTCCATTCTCATCCATTCTCATCACTGGTGTCATTCAGTTTCTCAATCTGGCCTGGGAATTCCCTTAGGTCGACTCGGAATTATTTGAGTACCCGATGCAGTGTGTCTAGATGAGAGGTCACTTAATTGGCGGATGGACACATCTTGTCAAGGAGCATAGACCATCACGCGAACTCCGGTCATCCTCTTAGGCAGCGGCTTTTGGATCAATCATCGAACAAAGAAGTCAGACGCGCTTCTGCGGCCGTCCGGAACGCTCTTCCTTCCGATATTAGGATGCCACTGGAGCTATGCACTTTTAAATCATCTCGATTGAAAACTAATTTCTGTAGAACTGCTCTTTTTTGTTTAGTTTGTCCTTCCCCCGCACCTCCGATTAGCACGGATGGCTACGTACTGTGCGAAAAAAGTTCAACATACTTCCAGTTCTGTGGTCAATCATCAGTCGGCCTGTGGAAACACTGGACCCCACCATAACATGGTGGAATTTCCACCTTTGTTTCAGGCCGGCCGATAGGAATGGACTCCACCGTAAGCTTGTGTGAGCAAGGTGCTGCTCGCCACAAGACAGCCACTGGACACTCAGTAAATGCGCGATTGTTTTTCTTCGTTTGATTTTGTAGATTCTAGACCAACACATTGACCGTAGTTTCACCCGTGAGCCTATTTTGCATTTTGTTCCCATCTATGTTTGAACAGGTGTGCTTTACAGTTCCGTGACAGGCATTGGCACCCGTGATTGGAACAATAGCAGTTGCACTAATTACACATTTTATGTTATTTGGCCAAATATGTCCACAAGGATTGATGAAAAGATGCCCCCCCCAACAAGAGGGGGGGGGGGGGGGGAAGACTCCACTCTTGTTGAGCTCCTCTTGATGAAGAGGAAAAAAAAGCTCAACACATTCGTAAAATTAACACGACCAATATTATTATGTTGATCAACTGTGAAACACATTCCTGCGGAGGGAGCTGGTAGGAACGTTGGATTGCTCGGTCAATGGCCAAGGTCAACGGCGGCGTGGTGTATTCCGCAAATATGCCCGACTGTGAGGGTGGGCACAAACCGGCGTGAGTCGGTTAAACGTTGAGTTTTATAAGGGCACCACGGGGTGACCAGGCCCTCCCCACCCACCCCCTCCCCACCCAGCCCCTCCCCACCCAGCCCCTCTCCACCCTCCCAGCCCCACCCTCCCCACCCAGCCCCTCCCTCCCCACCCAGCCCCTCCCCACCCTCCCCTCCCTACCCAGCCCCTCCCTGCACGACGGACGGACGGACACAATAATCCCCTGTGGGCTGGTGTAACCAGGAGGTTCCTACCAGTATGATCTATTCATATTGTAATTTATATTAATACGTTAACCCTCCCCCTTTTCTCATCGCACTGGATCGGTTAACAAGTGACGACATCACTTTTTTCCCTCTATTTAAGACCCAGACAGAAGAATTTCCCCACAACTCTGGCTGTCGCCTGATGAGACTGGTTGTAATTACCGGCGACACGTCACGGTGCTTGTATGGTAAATAATTGTGGGGTTTACTCTCCACCACATCGGTGTGCTGAACTAGTAACTAATTGGCCACGTTTTGTTTACGTGACAAACCTTTACTAATTGGCTGTGGCGGGTTTAACGACACATTTATACTTACGCGATCTCGCCCAAAAACCTCGATTATGAACATTCGTCAAATAGCGTTGCCCTAGAAGGAGTAAAGATATCTTCACACAAGTGACGTTTCAGCCCATAGCCCTTCTTCATTGCCACGTGCTATATGACCAAGGGTCATTACCCAATACGTCATCTCTTATATATTTTTCCCTTTTAGGGCAGTGTTGTTTGACAAATGTTGGTTTTTGTTGCCGTTTTTGCTTGTGCACCACTTATCCTTTCGTGTGGATTAATAACAGCAGATTTTAGATGTTATCCACTCCATTTAACACGTAGGCTTTCGCGACCAATATTCATAACAAAGGTTTTTGGGTTAGATCGCCTAAGTATAAACGTGTCCGCTCCATTGTCTGTCCGTAAGCAGAGTGGATCTCGCGTCCGTTCCTCCTTTACAGGAGTGACGGCAGCGGTAGCGGCGGCGTGTTCACGATGTGGCTCGGCGGTTTGGGATTGGTGGCCGCACCGCTCGCAGGCCGCCGCAATCTTCCATGCGCCATTTGTGGCATCGGGTGGCCGCATCGGCCACTTGGCCCAGGTCCCGATTCGGTTGATGGTCGACCATTGGCGGTGTGGACGGTTGAAACCCGGGGGGTCCGACGGTAGGGTTGTGCTGCACTGCCCAATGCAGTATCACAGAAATACGTTTTTGTTGTGTTTCATTCCAGTGATGAAAGGTTGAACACAAAGTTGAGTGGATCGCATTGTTGTAAAGTGTTGTCCTTCGGGCAGTTTGGAGACTCACAGCGGGTTGTTGCCACACGTGGTGGTCCGAGATGACGTGATACAGCTGTCGGGCTGTGACGGTTCCACCTGTGTTGCCTCCGAAACGTCGTGATTTTTATTTTACTTTTATAAATTTAATTTTTAATTTTTTACCTACGTGACTTTACCAAAAAAACCTAAGAAATAGACGTGACAATTCTTTAATTGAAACTGATTATTGTATCGCAACGATACACGCGCGCTCCATCCATGTATTACAACAACCAATTCATATTTAGGAATTATGAAAATGGCAGAGAACAAGACGGAACAAAATGTGAAACGGTGCAAAATGAGACGGAATGAACGCGACAAAAATAGGAGAGATGACAGTGATGTTGTCCGGATTCATGACAGTTCATCAATTTGTGAAGTTCACGTCGATTCCAAGTGCTGGTCAATTAGAACTTTGTATTCTAGTTTATTCCGCAGCTGTTGAGGGCTGTGAGAAGTCAAGTTGTGAATCGTTGCTTTATCGGACTGTCCTTTAAAGTGACAACTCGAGGTATGGTAACGTTGTGAGTATTATCCAAAGAAGAGACGTCGTTATTTGCACTGCATGTGCTAACTTACCCATAGCCTATATGCAGCCCTGTTAGATTGAAGTCATGCAGTTAAATATTGCTGTGTGCCTGGCCACAATGTATGTAAGTATACTGAACTTATTTCACATTCTTCTTGGTTCTTTCGGTAAAGTCACGTAGTTAGGGAAATAATAAAATAATAACATTTAAACATAATAAAACAAAATTCTCACGACGTTTCGGCCACAACGCAAGCAGGACGACTGCTTGCGTTGTAACCAAAACGTCGTGAGAATTTTATTTTATTACGCTTCATTTTTATTATTTTATTATGTTTGATTTTTCTTATTTTATTATTTCCCTTCTACGTGACTTTACCGAAAGAACCAAGAAGATGAATCCCTGCAGTCACGAAAGCTTTAAATCGAAATTCTTTCGCACTATAACCAACTGTTCTATCAGTAAATGAGATACCAAAAGGAACACGCGTAAGATTTAATTGGGAGATGGCACGGGATGCACTTGCGATGTCTCGGCTTGCCCCCACTAATTTAGTCACAACGTTTTTTCATACGCACGTTAATGTAATCAATGCTGCACATACTGCTGCATGTATGTATGTATGTTAAACTTCTTTCGCACCGTACGTAGCCAACCGCACTAGTCAGAGGTGCAGGGGAAGGACAACAAACTAAACACGAAAATCGGTTTTAAAGAAATTAGTTTTAAATCTAGATTTTCAAATGCCTAGCTCCAGTGGCTTGCTAACATTGTAAGGAAGAGCGTTCCAGACGGCCGCAGAAGCGCGCGATGCGGTGACCGTCTTTGCTCGATGGCCAGCCGAAAGCTGCTGCTGCGAGGATAACCGGAGTTCGCGTGATAGTTTAGGAAACCACGCAGTGTCTGTTTTAGGGAAGCATTTAATCTTCAAGCCAAAGTGACCGCAGCAGCCCCGCGCGGGGCACAATGTGACTTGCGTACGCTCAATTTGTCCCGGTAATCGGGGTCCGTTTTCTCCGTCACGGTTGTTGAGCGCAGGCCCCGAAGGCCCAGAAATGCCACGCGGCCAGCAATTAACAGCACACTTTTTTACACTTTGAACCTCGTGTTAGATGAATAATGCGTCTTGAATCGAGCAAGGGTCGTTTATACGAACCTTGGGGTGGTTGGGGGGGCGAGCTGGGGGAAGGAAAGAGACAATGGGAGGGAATTGCAAAGTTGAGCAGTAGAAGGGAAGAAGCGGAAAGAGGAGTGTTTTTATTTTCCTGGTTCTTTCGGTAAAGTCGCGTAGAAGGGAAATAATAAAATAATAAAAATAGCTTTTAAAAATATATATAAATGTTTATTATTTCTCTTCTACGTGACTTTACCGAAAGAACCAAGAATATGAATCCCTGCAGTCACGAAAGCTTTAAATCAAGATTTAAGGAGTGTTTTTATTTTATTACGTG